CAAGCTCAAGTTTAACCTCCTGTGTGAAAGTGTATAGTGACGTATTTGTTATTATGGCACATGTACATTCTGTAACAGAAGCAGCTCATCAGGGATGTTGCTGCTTTACTGTCTACAACATTACGTCATGTTGTTTGTGTTATCTGCTTTGTTATGAAGACTTTGAACTTTCTCTTTCAGCACACCATAGATAAAGTCATAAATAAGCCCTTTATGTACGTTAGGTAGCCAAGTACTGTATGTGGAAGTAAGTGGCTAATTTCAGTGGGAAGGTATAGTCATCACTACAGTTGCCTTTGTTGTCTTTGCCTGTTATATAGCACAGTTGTTCTGAAACATGCTTCCCACAGCGAGAGTGGTATATGCACATTTGGTATATATACAATTGCACATTTGCATATATACCATAATGGTTTATATACATTTGCACAAGTAAGCAGAACCTTTTCTGGCCCCTCCATTTTCATTCCAGTATGAATACCTTTGTGAAAAAGAAGTACACTTTAGCATACACATTAAAAAATTGTGTATTATGGAAATAATATACATCAATATGTAATTTCATGGTAGCTTTTATAGTCTTTTTTTGAAAATGATTAAAATGCACTGCCGAATCTTCTGAATCAGTATCTTGGAACGCAAAGGTTCTCTAGTATGGCCTCCTTGTATAAGGAGGAAATATTAATGTAAATAGGAAAAAGGATGTTAGTTATGTTAATACTTTTGAAAAATTTAAATGCATTTCTTTATGATGTGTAAAAATTGTGTCAGGACTTTGATATACACAGAAGTTTAGTTTTTCAATCTGTTATTCTATTACTCTCTGTGATGGTGATTTTGTGTCACATGGCTGTAGGTTCTGTCTATTCCTTCGATGAGGAATGGGACGATGATTCCGATGATGGAAAGTCGACAGGCGGCTATGGAGGCTCACAGGTGGAAGAGAGCGGAACGATGCAGCGGGGCGGGGCTCACTCTACTATGAAATTATCCCTCAACAAGTAATGTTTTACTTTTGACAGCTACCAATATTAATATTTCATTAATAAAATAAACTTTACAAATGTCAATCCCATCTTTTCCCATAGGTTTCCAGGGTTCTCTAAGACTCCAAATCCAGAAGTGTATCTGCTTACCAAGCACATATCTAAAGGAGATGACAGACTGCCAGTTTATGTAAGTTATTTGACTTCGTCATGTGATTTGATCCCATGCATCAAGATTGATTTGATAGTTAGATAGTTGTTCTGGATAAAAGAATAATCAAACAACCTTGGGTTTGTTTTAAGTGGTATGGTGAATGGATACATTAACAGGATGAATGTTTATTTTGCAGACGGGCGAGGTAGGTCCAGTATGGTTGTATCCACAAATTCAGTTAGATTGTGTTGTGGCTGATCCCAAAAAGGGGTCAAAAATGTACGGCCTGAAGAGCTACATTGAATACCAGATCACACCTAATGTAAGTTCCTTTGAAGCACTTCTCAAGACTACTTGAATAATGTTGACTTACTGTAATTTTTTGCTAACAAGTCTATATTTATGTTTAACTATTTTTTTTTTCAGACTACAAACAGACCAGTCAATCACAGATACAAACACTTTGACTGGTTATATGAGAGGCTTGTGGAGAAGTTTGCCTGTGCTCTGCCAATCCCATGTCTACCTGACAAACAAGTTACAGGTGAATAAAGCAAAAAAGTAATAGTGATTAGAAAAGCTTCTTGTACCACCTTGACATTTTGTTTTTTCATAATCACCAAAAAGTGTTTTTGGCTGGTAGACTTCCTAGCATCTGTCTTCTGTTTCTCTTTAGGCCGATTTGAAGAGGAATTTATCAAAATGCGCATGGAACGCCTGCAGGGCTGGATGTCCCGCATGTGTCGGCATCCGGTGATCTCAAACAGTGACGTTTTCCAGCTCTTCCTTAACTACAGAGACGAGAAGGTGTGTTTGTTAAAATATGTATATTAGTAATAAACATGTAGTTTAATATACTGGTGCAAATGCATAGTCAAATAATATATATAACAATATATATAAACAGTTGAAGAGCTCTTCTGTAGAGTATTGCCATCTGTTTGCTGATATTGAGATCACATCCTTAAGAAGTGTTTTACAGTGTTATATATTAACTTTGACTAGTGAATAGTTAAGTTCAGCATAGCAGTTCGGGAGTCTTGTAAGTTATGTTTTATCTGTTGTTTCTACTAGGAGTGGAAACTAGGGAAGCGGAAAGCAGAAAAAGATGAAATAGTGGGAGTGAAAATCTTCTCCAACATAGATCCAGAGCTCCCAGAGTTAGATCCTGCTCAAGTGTGAGACTATATTTAACTCCTTTGATAACTTTATCCTAAAATTAATTCAGTAAGTTTTTAATATATAGTTTTTAATTATATAAAATGATTGTCTATTATTTATATAATATTTTAATATTAATAGTCATTTAAAATTGGTGTAATAATTACAAATTATGATTAATTATATATAAATATATACTGCCATTCAAATGTTTGGGGTCAGTAAAATGTTTCTTTTTGAAAGTAATTGATAAGTTTATTCAGCATTAAATTGGTCGAAAGTTACAGTAAAGACTATTATGTTATATTAACAAGAAAATTCTATTTTTAAAAAATGCTGCTCTTTTGACCTTTCTAATTATCTAAGAATCCTGAAAAAAATGTATCACCATTTCAACAAAAATATTAAGTAACAACTGTTACAGCATATTAGAATGATTTCTGAAGAATCATGTGACACTGAAAATTCAGCATCACAGGAATTATTTGTACTTCAAAATATATTAAAAAAGAAAACAACTATTATTTTGAGCATAAGAGACTTCTTTCCTAAACATAAAGTCTTACCAATCCCAAATTATATATTTATTATATTATATTATATTATATTATTATAATGTAATATATTTATTTAATAAAACAATTGTCTTATTTGATGTGATTGTAGGGAGCAGAAATATGAAATGTACAGCCAGTTTACTAGATCTATGGACAACAGTGTTAAAGAACTACTGGCTGTTGGGCATCTTCACTGGAAGAGATGTACAGGCCGTGAGTTCACATACTATATTTTCATGTACAGTATATTATCAAGTACAGTCAAATGGTATATGTAGATTATTTCATTACTGTTACCATCTTGTGATTTGTTCATAGTAAAAATCTTCTGCTTTTAAACCAACAGCATTACAAAAGGAGTATCGGCAGATTGGAAAAGCATTTCAGAACCTTTCATCAGTTTTCAACACTAGTGCATACCCAAGTAGGAAACTGGAGCTTTGTTCTTTAAAATGCTCTCATAGACATGTTTTATATTACATATACAAATATTTTTGTATTATCTATTTGTATTATCATGATTATTATCTAATCATGTTTTGTTGATGTGTTTTTTTGTACCTTAAGGGGAATACACTCTGACGGAAGCATTGACTGCAACAGGAAAAACGTATGAGGAAATAGCAGAAATCGTTGCAGGACAGGTATCAGAAGTACAGTATTTCCTCAAATTAATACTTCAACAAACCGTTCAGTCCTTGAACTTCTACCAGTGCCATTCACTCATCATTAGCATGTTTCCTCACATCCTGTGCTGCTATTTCCACAGTTTGATAGAATTGTAACCACAAGGCTACCCAGTGATAGCAACATCCACGACTGCTGTTTTTAGCATTGTCCACAAGTTTAAGCTTTTGTTTTAATAAGATAAACTTTGTCTCTCAGCCAAAAAAAGATCTACACTTCCTGATGGAAACAAACCATGAATACAAGGGACTACTGGGCTGCTTCCCTGACACAATAGCAGTTCACAAGGTTTAAACCGTTCACCTTTTGCCTTTCTACATTTAGTGTTTTACTGTTTTGTTTTGTTTTATTTATGTGTATGTTTAAACAATTTTTTTTTTCCTCAGGCTGCCATTGATAAAGTAAAAGAGGCTGATCATTTGGTGGTGATGAATAAGATTAGCCAACAAGATAAACTCATCATGGAAAAAAACCTCAGCACCATGTCTTATGCATTGCAAGGTATGTTAGTAAAGTGTTGTCTATCAGTGAAAGACCCTTTGTCAAAGTGCACCTGTGTGCTTAATTGTAGTGTTTGTCACACACATGTAATCTTAGACTTGCCATCTGTTTCTCTAGCGGAGATGAATCACTTCCATAGCAACCGTATCTATGACTACAACAGACTCCTGCAGTTCTACCTGGAGGAACAGGTGAAATTCTATGAAACGGTTAGTGATGGGATACTAGTGTGTACGGACACCATAAACATGGCATACGTAATGCAACATACTATGTATGTAACGTTCTTGTGTGTTCTCATTGGTTAGATTGCTGAAAAGCTGAAGAAAGCGCTTGGTCAGTATACCACCATGTGAGGACTCGCTCTGAACAGCAATACTCATCAAACTGTGTCAGTTCTGTGGAATTTAAAAAAAGGATGCTGCTTGTGCTTTTTTTAACGCTAATTCACAATTAACCATCTTGTTTCCATAATATTCTGTATTGCTGCATTGTGTCATATATATAAAATATAGGTTATAAGGGAACAAACTATGTTAGATGTGCAAATCAACAGTCACCAAATATTGTGTTCACAGAAACAGGTAAAATACAAAGCTTAACTGATATTTAAGCTAATGTAACACTACCCGACGTTAAAAGAATAGTTCATGCAAAAATGAAAATTAGCTCACCCTCAGGCCTTCCAAGATGTAGGTGAGTTTGTTTCTTCATCGGAACAGATTTTGAGAAATATAGCATTAAAGTATATCACTTGCTTTTACTTCACTAGACGTTAATTGATGGACTGGAGTGATGTGGATTACTTGTGGATTATTGTGATGTTTTTATCAGCTGTTTGGACTCTTATTCTGACGGCACCCATTCACTGCAGAGGATCCATTGGTGAACAAGTGATATAATGCTAAATTTCTCCAAATCTGTTCCAATAAAGAAACAAACTCATCTCCTGGCCTGACGGTGAGTACATTTTCAGCAAATTTTCATTTATGAGTGAACTACTCCATTAAGACATTTAATTCTCTCTGTGTAAATTGAGGTCTCTCAGGGACGCGTTCACTTAGACTGGGCCATCTAAACCAAATGAGTTTATTAACATCTTAAATTGTCTGACATGATTTTATTTTCTTGTAGGATGTAAATTAAATATGACAGATATTTAGTGGTATGTATTGGATAAAAGCAATAAGGACATTGTCTTTTACCTGTGGTAAAATGTTCTATGCAAAACAAAACTAAAAATGTCTCATTGTCACACTCAGTGTATAAAATGTGTTTTTAACTAGCCATCCAGTGTGTAATAAATCTTTCTTTATACCTTTCCAAGTCGTGAGTTGTGAGGAGAGTTGTGATGGCCATGAATGCTCTGCATTTTTTGGCTTTGTGTCAAAATTGATTTTGCAGTTCTAGCAGGGAGCACAAAAATATCCTTTTTGAGAAGATGGTAGAATTATCCAGTATTTATGCTAGCTCAGGGTCAGTTTTCTCTCTTTGGAAGAGGAAACAAATCTCTGGCCTTAGAGGAAATGAGCATGATGACCTCAGTTTGTGAGAGTTCATGTGAGCGTGACCTCAAGCAAAGAAACACACTTTCTCCTCCAAAACTATTTCCTTCCCTTAATCATAAGGCAGCTTCAGTTTGGACTTTTTCCATTTTTGACCATAAGGAGTCCCTTATTTTGTCTGGGACTTTGTAATGCAAATAATCATCAAATCATGTGATGCCCCTCAAAACCTCTTTCATTCCAGTGCCACGTTCATTTGCTGGTCCGTTCCACCCTTCCTGTTAGTGTGTGATGGGCAGAAAGAGTCTCTATGGATGGTGCAGATATGCTTATCTCATGGTAAAGTAGTCTGAAGCTTAAAGCAGAGAGGTAGAACATGGAAAGATAAAATAGCAGGACATTTGTCAAAAACTAAGACATTTTTATACATTCTCAAAGTAGTTACAAAATGTAAACAATGTTGTGAAACATACATTTAGGCATTAAAAGGCTGTACATTTTGGGATTGTTTGAGCACCTGTTGCCTCTAAATTACACAGAATTACTGAGGCTTAAACAGCAAACATATTTGCATTTGCCATGTGTGGAAGGATATCTATTAATAGAGCTTTCACAAATGTTCTCATGAAATACAGAGACTGGCTGCAACAAACCCCTTAAGATAATACATTTTTATTGAGAATACCCTTACAATTATTAAACTTTTTTGTTTGTTTAATATCAAGATTGGTTTGATCCTTTTAAATAATAAGTCATTTAAATTAAGTCATTAAGTTATTTAAGTATTAAGAATCAATTTCATTTCATTAAAAAAAAACAAAAAAAACATAATGAATTCAAAAGGTTTTCTTAAAGGAGTAGTTCACCCAAAAATAAAAATTCTGCCATCATTTACTCAGTTTCCACTTGTTCCAAATCTGTATGAGTTTTTTTTGTTGTTGTTGTTCAAAAGAAGATATTTTGAAGAATGTTGGTAACCAAATAATTTCACGGTAGCCATTGACTTATATTGACTATAGTACAGAAAATACTATAGAAGTCAATGCCTACCATCAACTGTTTGATTACCAACATTCTTCAAAGTATCTTTTTTGCATTTAACAGAAGACAGAAACTCATACAGGTTTGGAACAAATTGAAGAGGAGTAAATAATGAATTTTCATTTTGGGGTAAACTACCCCTTTATGGTTTTTGTTGCAACTGATCACAGGACTTATAAACACTTAAAGAATCTTTAAAAACACCTTCTCTGAATATTTCTAGCCAATGAAGTGTAACAGAAACATCAATTAACATAAAGTATATGTATCAAAATTATATTAAGTTATGAATTATTTCTATTTAATTAATAATGATTATCCAAATCAAATACAATTGTTTTTGTACAAGTTAAAAATTATTCATGATAACCTAATAATGCATGTTTATTATAGTATAATAAATTGGTTATATTAGTTACAATACATCGAATGCTTCAGTATGTCAAAGACCAAGATTATGAGTAATGTGGATATTTTGTCTTGAATGTCCAGATGAGACTTTCCCTTTAACCACAGTTTACGTAACTGCTTAGCCACGGAGAATCAACAATGACCTGATGATGTCACTGCAGTATTGTTTTACTCAGGTCCTAAAGCGGTGTTATTATGGGGAGAGGCGTGGCCTGTAGGTCCGTGGGCGGATCATCATGCTCACCTTCTTCAAGGAGTAGTAATCTGAGTCCTTCCAAGAGTACCACACAATCCCATCAGGCCCCAGAAGATTCTTCCCTTTGGCAGAGTAACGCCCCCCCTGGTGGTCAAGATAAACATAGGACACAGTTAAGATGGTTGGGCTCATATTTTATATCTTGGAATGGTTTCATTTTTCCTTCATTTGTATAAGACCTTATAATACACTCCATTGAGGTTGGCGAAGAAGCACTGATGGTACCACCAGCCTCCGTGAGATATCTCAGCACAGATGTCACCTGTGTCTGGCGTGCTGAAGCTTTGCTTGTCATGGTACCAGCCAAACGAGTCCTCAACTGTACCACTGAATCCTGATACATGGAGACGATAGAGGTTGTCCTCGTTCTCAATCCTGCCAAAGCAAGAATTTTTGCTTGAGTGGTTTAGAAAAATGCAGCCCATTCAAGATGTAGATGAGGGTTTTTTTTTTCTTCATCTGAACAGATCTGGAGAAATTTAGCATTGTATCACTTGCTCACTAATGTGTATGCAGTGAATAGGTGCCGTCAGAATGAGAGTCCAAACAGCTGATAAAAGTATCACAATAATCCACAAGTACTTCACACGACTCCAGTCCATCAATGAAAGTTTTGTGAAGTGAGAAGCTGCATGTTTGTAATAAAGAAATCCATCATTAAGATGTTTTAACTTTAAACAATTCATTCTGACGGCACCCTTTCACTGCAAATAATCCACTGGTGAGCATCTTTATCTGTTCAGATGAAGAGAAAAACTCGTCTGTCTTGGATGGCCTGAGGGTGAGTAAATTTACAGCAAATTTTCATTTTTGGGTGAATTATTCCTTTAATATTGGAGCATCTGTAAGGATTTTCTCATAAGAACATTTAAGAGATGAAAACAATATGATGCAACATTTTCGATCAGGTTTAAAAAAAAACCTGCATTAATTTAATATTAATATTTTATATTTAAATAATTTATATGTATATTTAGTATTTTATATATAATGTAATTTAATCTTACTGTATTAAATATATAATATTTTATAATAAGTCAGACATTTTAATATTAATACAGTATATCTGATTTTAAGATTAACATTTTTTTATTAAATAATTTTATTTACTAATTATTAAAATATTTATGAATTTAAATGTATTCATAGTATTTAATATTACAGAAATATTACAGTATACTGAAAAAAAAAATAAGTAAGTGTTCGAAATATTCTAAGAACTTAATCTTTCCAAATGTTTACCAGAAGTTCTGGTACAGTGCATGTTTGTGCTTGCCATTCCAGTCCTCGAGGTCAATGCGAAGGGAATACTCTCCCTGGCTGGAGATACTGTGGATATGGTCATTTCCTAGCCAGAAATCTGCATGCAGATCTCCGAAGCCATCCCTATATTCTGTCCATTTGCGGTTGAAATTGACCTTTCCATCCTGTCGACGCTGAAACATAGTCCATCCACCTCCTGGTCCAAAGAATGATTCTTTAATCCCAAGTAACATCCACTAATGCTCCTAATTTAACCCAAACTTCCTGTCTATAAACACAAAAATGCAAACCTTGGGTCTCCATATCACAATAAACTTCTATGGGAGTCGAACCCTTTGAAGGGACAACAGTAAAAAATCCCAGATCTATGGACTCCATTGTAGATGCACAGTCAATTGGACAGTTTCATACATGCTGAACCTCTGAGGAAACAAATAGGCTATTTAATCAAATCAAGCTATTGTTAAAAATGTCCAAATATGTCAGTATGAGTTCTGAGATGCCAATGACCTTGTAGTATTATTTTTCCTTATTTGAGTTATACTTTTTAATTAGCAGTAGTTCACCCAAGAATTACACATCAGTCATCATTTACTCACCCAATGAAGATTGTAAACAATTTCTTAGTCTGTTTTTTTTCCCATCCATATAATGAAAGTCAGTGGGGTTCAGTGTTGTTTTGACTTTCATTTGATTGACAAAAAAGAAAGTCATACGGGTTTGGAATGACATCATGGTGAATAAATGATGACAAGGTTTTCAATTTTGTGTGAACTATCCCTTTAATGATCAAATAACCACTTTCAAAATCTTCAGTACCTAGTCATGCTGACCTGGGTGAAGGGTATCTTGAGCGCCGAGGAGCGGGCTTGTGCGGATGATATTGATCATACAGCCAGGATTGCGCCTCACACGCTCTACTATCATAGTGAGGTTGCGAATCTGTGTTTGCATGTCGTAGATGAGTGATCCGTGGATGTGCAGCAGTGCATTGGCCTCTTCGTAGATCTCCTGCAGCATGTGGAAACGATGCTCTAAAGGCGAGTTCATTCCATACTTCTCCTCACGCTGCTAGCACAGGAAAACAACATTCAGCAATTCAAAGCACAGTGCACTTTGAGGACACAGCTCATCTAGTATTTGCAAACAGGAAAACAAATGGTAAACTAACACAGATTAGCTTAATCCGGTAACACAGTTCATTTAGGGATTTGAAAGCGACCCAACAAAACAATATTATTCACAGGGGTTTAAAAAGTTAACAGAAAACTGCATCGAAATCAAAAAGTGTGCAGCCAAAAACATTCATATTAAACATGTACTTTTAAAAAAGTAAACTTTTTTTTAACTTTAGGAATAAAGAAGACAAAAGATTCTCTGGATTTCTGGGAATTATTTGTTTATTTATTTGAAATTGATTAACTGAATCATGAAATTGATTAACTGAGTCATGATTTCATTTATTCGTTAGCTCAGTAAAAAGTAAATAGCAAACACACACACACATAATCTCTCTCTCTCTCTCTCTCTCTCTCTTTATA